GGATGCTGGTGTCACTCTCCCATCCCCACGCCTCCCCTTGCACAGAGGCCCAGTGAGTGCCAAGGGGGACAGTGCTGTCATGGGCAGCTGACCCCGAACCATCCCTACCCCCTCGAGGGCTTGGTGCTGCAGGTCCAGGATGGAGGGGTCTCAATCCTGGCAGCATCTTCCCCTTCAGCTCCTGACAGTTCTTCCTTCTTTAGATGATTCAATGAAGAGTTGCTGTCAGTGGAAAGGAACTGAATTAGGTTTTGGAGTCCCTCCAAGACTTCATGCTCTTCCTCCCCGTGTGATGATAATTGCACATTGCATGTCAGATGGACTATCCCGGTTTCTTCTCGCAACAACCCCACGAGGCTGAGAAGTCAGATCGTGAGGACACAGAAAGCCCGCTGGGCTGGAGCAGGAGGGCCGGGCTTGGGGTCCCAGTCTTCCCAGGAATACTTCCCAGTTTTGGAAGCCCGGTCAATACATCCACATTTCCACCAGGGACGCTCGGGATGACATTAAGATCTGACTCAAGAAAACCTTTCCGTTTTAGATGGTTACCATCTGTTTATAGCAAGTGCTATGCATTTCTTGTAAGTTCCCACGGAAATACATTTATTTACATTAACAGATTGACATAAAGCATTAAATAGGAGACTAGGTAGGTGGTAAATAGATATGATGGAAACCATGCAGGAAGTCCAGGGAAGAATGTCAAGGAAGAAGGCGAGCATCTTGGGTCCCATTTTCTGGTCCGTAAAGTGGGGCCACCAACCTGCCAGAGTCACTGTGGGGTCCGACAAAGCAGAGGGAAGGACACACACTGCATACACACCTGGGGTTAGCATTTCACAGCCACAGCCCTCTGCCCAAGGGCATGCGGCCCAGTTAGGCAGCTAGAACTCCCCCAGGGCTCCTCACAAACGCTAAGAGGGTGCCCAGTGGCCATCCAGGATTGAACTGCAGGAGAGACTGAAGTTTGACATGAAGACCATATTTAGAATGAAACATTTTGAGGCCCAGGAGGTGCTGGGGGGTTAGGCGGGGGGGGGGGGGGGGGGGGGGGGGGTGGTGGTGGAGGTTGTGCTTGCAAAGAGGCTTGTGAGGAGGAAAGGACTTTTGTGGTCCTTTCTCCTTTCTCAGCAAAGAGCCCCACACCCGTCTGTGGGACGAGCTCTCAGGGGCAGTATGTTCAATGGTGCAGCAGGCCAGCTCTAGCTCGTGCGCGTGTCAGCAAGTATGATTAGGGGTGGGCACAGGGGGGTGGCTGCTAGATCCACCGCCACTCGGACCAATCGAACCAATTAGATCCTCTTAGGACATGTCCAGCTGACTCCTGAGGGCCAGCTGGGTATGACTGGGTCCCTGTCCTGAGGGAGGACTGGAGGCCCTGGCACTGGGAGGCCAGAGAGGAACTCAGCCCCCTACAGCCTAGAGATGGGGATTTGGTGATGACCATTTCTACTTGGGGTTTTCTCTGCTCTGGCCCCCTCCCCTGCTCCCTCTTGGGTTCCTGAGGCAGGAGAAACCCTGGGATCTGAGAAGGTCCCACGCTCAGAAGACAGCAGCTTGCCCTCTGGCTCTTTCTCCCTGGGTGACATCATTCCCCCTGGGGCCGGGAAAGGCAGCTCCTCTCAGTCAAGACCCAGCTGATGCTCCTGCCTCCCCGCTTCCCCTGGCCATCCCCGCCTCCCTCACTTCCTCTTTCTCTAGCCCTCCCTCTCACAGCTGCCTTCTGCCCCCAGTGTCTGCACCGTGACTGGTGGGCAAGAGGATGCAGGGCTTCCCTTTCCTTCCCTGCTCTTCCTCTGGCGGGGGTGGGGTGGTGGTGGCTGGGACAGAAGGGACAAGACAAGAGCTGTTGTTTCTCCTTGATCGCACCAGTAGATGAATGGAGTCCTGTCATTAAGGTCCACTGAGGAAGCCATGTCCTGGACATTCTTAGGAAGTCTTAGATAACCGCCCAAACCCGCCTCCAAGCCATGTATAAACACACATTACGTCACTTAATCAGTCCAGAGCTACATGAGGCAGAAACTCGTATTCCCATTTTGAAGAACAGAGAAGTTGAAAAATGATTTAAATCACCGTCCAGGCCACACAGTTACTACTATGGGTCAGAACTGGGATTTGAACCCTGTTCCCTTCGTCTCTAGAACCCAAGACCTTAACTGATACAGAAGATCATTTTCCATGGGGGTCTAATTTCACGTCCTGTTGACTTGACTGGGACCTCTGTGTTATGAGCAGCCCCAAATTCATACATACCCACACATTCATTCCCACTGGAAAATGGTACAAAATGTCAGCATTATGTCTTCAGGATTTTTCCATACTGGAAGAGATTGAATGGGGTCATTTCATTCCTCTCACTGCCTCCGACCTGGACTGTGTTCAGCCTTCTGGAAGGAAGCCTGCGAGTTTAGACTTCTTGCCTGTTGGTGAAATGAAGCCTTGAGCAGGGCCCCTGACTCTTTCTCTCTGCAGAGCACATTACTGCCTGAGGGCAGCAGGTCTGGAGAGAGGGCTTGGGGTATCCAGTGGTACTCAATAGATGTTTTATGGGTGTGTCGCAGGGGCACGGTGCTTGCTGGGTTCTGGGGAGACGTAACAATGTGTAGATCTCAGGCCCTGCCCTCAATGGTAGATGCTTAGTGAACGTTTCATGAGAAACTGAGCATCGAAACGTGGGGTGGGGGGGGTGTGTCTGAGCCGTGTACAGAAGTAGCACTGTAGACAAGACCACTTGGTGGGGGGTGGTCACTGATGGCATTCTGACAACAGCATGGGGTGTGCATATGGGAACAGTGACATGCTTGCAAGTGGCAAGTGACATAATCACAGGAGTGTGTTGGGAAGATGGAGCTGGTGGCCGGAAGGCCTTCAAGGAGGTTTCTGCATTCCAGGGGATGGAAAAGCAGATGTGAGACCTCTGGGAACAGGAACAGAGGAACAGGGTAGGGGAGAAAAAAAGCCAAACGGGACTCTGAGGTCCAGGTTGGGTGCCGTGGAAAGGGGCAGAAAAAGGGAAGTCAGAGACCAGCTTGCAGGAAGGGACCCTGAGGAGGCTGGTGCAAGGCTTAGGGCCTCCTCTGATTCTGCCCTGGGTCATCCCAGCCACAGCTGAAACGCCTCCAGAAGGAAGGGCTCAGGAGGCTGGAAGCCGAAGAGGTCAGGGCAAGGGGCCATCAGCAGCGCAGCCACCTCACAGGCTGTGTCTCTTGCAGCCACAGCTGCCACTCCAATGGAGCCCGCTTCCCTGGTCCCCCCACCCCCGCTCTGCAAAGGCCTCCTTGCCTTCAGGGACAGTCAGTCCTCTGGGTGGTGAGTGCTGCTGGCCCAGGAGAGCCCTGCCTGGAGCCCTGCCCCTGCCAGGGTCGGGGGTGCCAGGGGAAGATTTGACCACAAAGCCTCAGAGGGTCAGCTGCCAGCGCAGCGCCTCTTTGCCCCCCCCCCCCCCCCCCCCCCCCCCCCCCCCCCCCCCCCCCCCCCCCCCCCCCCCCCCCCCCCCCCCCCCCCTGCCAGGGTCGCTCTTCCGATCTGAAGATTTGACCACAAAGCCTCAGAGGGTCAGCTGCCAGCGCAGCGCCTCTTTGCCCGCCCACCCCACCCCTCCACCCCTCCACCCGCCCTCCCCACCCCTCCACCCCTCCACCCCGTGGGCTTAGCTCTGTGCATCAGGAGCAGGCTGGGCGGTAAGATGATCCCTGCGGGTCTCTGGGGGGCTTAAGAAACAGATGGTCCCCTCACGCGAGGTTTTGCTGTTGTAACACGAGCAGATCCGAGGGAGCTGGCGGGGCCAGGGCCGCTTTGGCTGTGAATGTTATCAGGCCACGCATCCCCTGCCCGGCCCCCAGACTCGGCCCTCACCCAAGCCAGCCTCTCAGCCCCTTCCAGCTGGCACCTGGGACACGCGCCTTCGGCACCCACAAGGGGGCTGGGGGGGGAGGCTGGCCCCCAGGGTCCCCACTCTTGGCCAGAGCGGTGGAGCCAGTTGGGCTGAGAAGGCAGGAAGAGCACCGGAGCCAAGTGTAAGCGCCGCTGAGAGAGGACAGGTGTTTGGAAGGCAGAGAAGGGCTGGGAAGAACTTCTGCAGATAGCAGCTCCCAGGCCTCCATGTCTCATCTCCGCCAGATGTGCACAGCAGTGAAAGGAAGCCCCAGGCCTAGCCTTTTCCTTCGGGAATCTGAGCTCCCTGTCTTGCCCTCATGTCCTCCACGCTCCTCCACTGCCCTGGGGAGGGCCGAGTAGCCTTAAAGCCCAGCTCCCCTGTCCAGCCACCTCGAGGCAGGCAGTGCTTGGTATTTAGCCTTTGGAGCGAGGTGTGCTGTGTTTGAGACCCAGCAATATGGGCCAGGTAACCTTAGGCAAGTTACTTCACCCCCACCATGGTTAACTCACTAAAATGAGAGCAATACTAGCAACCTCATAGGATTCTTTAACCTCATATAAAGATCATAAGAGGTGATGTGCCTAGAGCGCATAGCAAACATGCACCAACTGTTCTTATCATGGCCATCGTCACCGTCATCGTCTGTCTCAGGGAGGCTCGAGAAGAAGAGGGCGCAGCACCTTGTAAAAACGCGAAGACGACTACCACCATTTCGTGCACCCTCTTGTATCTAGATCATCTTGAGCAAGTTACTCACGCGCCTCCGTCCCGTCATCTAGTACCAGTCACCACCTCATAGACGAGTGGGCGAGATTAACCGTGGGCTAATTTACATGTGTGTCTATATTTGCACATATGTCGCTGAGGACAGCACCTGCCTTAGCACCGTTAACTGTCGTTAGTATTATCTCCTTCATGTGGCCGTGTCAGTGTCAAGATTCCTCCCCTCCCAGCTCTGATCTGCACTGCACTGGGCCCTGCGGAGGCAGGTCATTGGCAGGCTGGAGTGCCCCCGGAGGTGTAAGGGCGGGGAGGGGCGTCTAGGTTCAGGGCCAGTGAGGGGCAGCACTTGGCCAGCCCCCATGGCCCACTGGCCTATGAGTTTCTCTCTCCCTTGCAGATGTCCATGAAGGAAGTGGGTGATGGCTTGCAGGATCAGATGAACTGCATGATGGGCGCGCTGCAAGAACTGAAGCTTCTTCAGGTGCAGGCAGCACTGGAACAGCTGGAGATCTCCGGGGGCAGTCCTGCCCCAGGCTGTCCCGAAAGCCCCCAGGCGCAGCACAGGCCCCTGCCATGGGAGGGTGGCCCGGATCCCGCCAGGGCGGCGGCCTGCTCCTCCTCCACCCAACCTTCTCTTGGCACGAAGCTTCCGTCCCGCAGGAGTGTCTGTGGGAGGGATCTGGCCCCCCTGCCCAGAGCGCAGCTACCAGAGCGCCAAAGCTGTGCCCAGCAGGGGCCAGCACCAGAACCGGAAGACTGGACCTCCACACTGATGTCCCGGGGCCGGAATCGACAGCCGCTGGTCCTGGGTGACAACGTGTTCGCGGACCTGGTGGGCAACTGGCTGGATCTGCCGGAACTAGAGAAGGGCGGGGAGAAGGGGGAGGCAGGGGAGCCCAAAGGGGAGAAGGGCCAGTCCCGGGAGCTGGGCCGCAGGTTTGCCCTCACAGCAAACATCTTTAGGAAGTTCTTGCGCAGCGTGCGGCCCGACCGAGACAGGCTGCTGAAGGAGAAACCAGGCTGGGTGACACCCACAGTCTCGGAGCCCAGAGCCAACCGCTCACACAAGGCCAAGAAGCGGAGCCATTCCAAGGGCTCCGGGCACTTCCCCTTCCCAAGCACTGCAGAGCCCAGAAGGGGAGAGAGTCCTTCCACAAGCTGCCCCAAGGCCCTGGAACTCTCACCCTCTGGCTTTGATATTAACACAGCTGTCTGGGTCTGAATCCTAGAGACAGAAAGTTGACTGGACCCAAAAGGATGGGGGCGGGTGCTATGGCTTTCAGAAGCCTAACTCTGAGTTCCTTTTTCCCAGGATGGAGGGAGAAGAAGCCAGAATGTCTGGAGTAGGACAGACAGGAGTGTGGTTGGTAGAGACTGGTGGGGGCGGGCTGGTGGGGAGGTGAGGCTTCCCTGACCAAAAGGAAGCGCTTGAGAGAGTGGTGCTCCCCTAGGGGCTACAGGTGACAAGGGGCATGGGGGAGGAGACCAGGAAATTCTGACATTCCTTTACTGCCCCCAAAGACCTCAGCTGAACATTCTGTATGGATTGGGGCCCTGGGGCCTCAGGTTGCCCTAGAGAGGCCCCCAGTAAAGAGCTTGACTCTTGTGCCCCGCCTTATAACCCCTGGCTTTGCTGGCAAAGCACTGCTCCAGGCACAGGCATGAACCCCCGCCCCTCCTGGGACTGGGATCCGTAGAGAGGACACCCCCCCACCCCCACTCTCCCTGTTGGCCCTCAAGATTTCAGCCCATACCTGGATCCTGGGACATGGGCCGAATAAGGAGTGTGAGTATAAGGAGTACTTGAGAGCAAAGTATGTCTTTTCAGAAGCACAGGAAAGATACCTGTATAGCACTTTAAAGTTTGAAAGCCTTTTCACATCCCATATCCGTTATCTACTTTTGAGTAAGCACGTAAGGCGGTTTATCCCCACTGTCTGGGCGCAGGGCTGGCAGAAGGGCGGCCGCTGGGCCCTGGCCCACGAGCTCCTAACCCAGCACCCCGCCTCCAGCCCTGAAGTCCCCGCCCCCCAGGACGCAGGCACACGGGCGTTCACCATCGAGGCCAAGGTGGGCGCGTTAGAAATAAGCACTGATTTTTAGATTCCCAACTCCACCCCACGATCCGGCGGCGGGGAAGGCACCGGCTGGGGAAGGGCGGCAGTTCCGCTCCCTTCCAGAGGCGCCTAGAGCTTTCCTGGGGCGGCGCACGTGGCCTCCGGCGCCCCCTGGGGAGCTGCCGGCCCGCCCACGCCCGCAGGGAACCTCCGCTGCTTGGGAAAAGACAATGTGGGCCCCTGTTTGGGCCGGCCCGCCCTGGAGGCACTCCTCCTCGCCTCCCCTCCCCCCTCCCGACTGAGCTCCTCTCCGCCTGATTGGGGGGGGGGGATGGGGGCGGGTGGTGACAGCTGCAATTAGAAGCAAGCCGCCTTCCCGCCCTCGGCGCATTAACAAATTGGAGAAGAAAAATAACAAGAAAGGTTCTTTCTGCATCCTGGACCCTTGGAGACCGAGGTGGAAGAGGAGACTTAGCATGGCAGCAGCACAGCGGGAGTTGGGGGGCGGGTAGGATCGCTCTCAGACCCCCACGTAGTCAAATGGTAGACGTTTTTGTCGGAGGAAGCTACAAGGGGCAAGGTGCTAATTTTATTTATTTTCTTGAGCGCTCGCTATCTGCCAGGCAGTGCGCACAACTTGCCTTTCGAACTTCAGAAGGACCCTAGAAATTACTGTCTTCTCAGTAAATTAGTGGAAACTCTTAGGGAGGCATCCAGGCTGCCCAGATTAGGCTTCTGGCTAATGGAAGAACCGGGGTTTGAAACAGGATTGTCCGGCTGCAAAACGGCCTTTCTTACTCTCCTGAGGTTGGCCAGTTGAGGCAGCCCTTTCTGGAGGAGCGAGCTCTGCCCATCCTTTCTGCCTCCCGGCAAACTTTGATATTTCAGTCCTGCGGGAAGGCCTATTGGCTGTGGCTGCCTTGGTGGAGGTGGTGCTGTGCGTGTGTGTGTGTGTGTGTGTGTGTGTGTGTGTGTGTGTGTGCGCGCGCGCGCGCGCGCCTGCGCACATGCGCGCATGTGAGGTTTCCTCCCACTGGGTGCTGGTGAAGTCACCAGCTCCCAGTCCGGAATGATTCCATAGGAAACCCAGTCCCCTCCTGGCCATTCATCTGCGACTCATCTGTTTTGTGGACCCGTCATAACAATCCAGACCCAAGCAAACAAAATTTTATGAACATCTAAAGGCCCAGCATCGGGACAGGAACTATAACCAGCAAGGAAGAGGACCGGGTCCCTGGCTCACGGTGTTCAGCAAGAAGAAACAACTCTTCACCCATCGGTTAGCCAGAAGGGATCCCAGGGAATGAACTCATTTGAACTCGGCCAGAACAAAACAATTAGGAGTGACATTTGCTGCCAACACAATTGCCAGGCCCGGGGCACTGCCATCTTTGCATTCATGCTCCCTTCTCGCCTCGCTCTGGAAGTGGCTGTTGCTACTCTTACTCTGCATGGAGGGGCTCAGGGAAGTCCAGCAATGTGCCCCAGGGCACCGCCACGGAGCTGGGATTGAATCGGTCCGGACAGACTTCCGGCTTTGTGCTGGTCACGCTACCCCAGGGAGCGTCCGTATCTGCTCCGAAGCCAAATCAAGAGGAACAACAACGAAACCTGTCCTCCCCATACCATCCACGCATGGATAATAAATGGAATGCTTATTGTCCGGTGGGGGAATTTTGCTCTGGTCTTGACGAGGCCTGGTGTAATGCCCTTATCCCTGGGCATGCTTTGCTAATGAAAGACTGCGGCCAATTCATTTACAACCCCCCACTGCTAATTTTTTCTTTTCCCTCCTTTTCTGGGCTTTCGTTGTGATAGGATGGAGACTATATTTCAATGAAGCTGAGGGGACAGGTGAATGGGAATGTCTGGGGCCTAAGCGATGGAGGAAAGTGTAGGGGTGGGGAGCAGCGGGAAGAGGAGGAGGAGGTAGTGGAAGTAAGCAGAGGGAAACTGACAGCTTAATTCTGCCCCTGGGGCTCATTTTATGGTTAATTAGGACATGCAAATAAGCTGGAAGCTCATTTAATGCCCTCCCTGGCATGGGGCCCCACCTCACACCTGGCCCACTTCCCTGGCAGGTACGGGGGGGGGGGGGGGCGGCCCTGATTGACCCAGGCATCTGCTCGGGGCCCCACCTGCTTCTCTGTGGTCAGTGTGTCTCCAGATGTTCCCTGACCATAAACAGGAGCTAGAAGATTCCTTACTGGGCCTGCCTGGTCGCCCTCCTTCCTTTTCTCTTTCCAACCCTTCAGATCCGGGACCCCTCTCTCCCAGAGGGCAGAGGGCCACACCCCAAGAACTTCCCCTGCACCCAGGTTGAGATCTGAACCCACACTTGCCCAGAAGAATAGAGACCTGGTTTGGCTCTGTCCCCACTACATCCCCCTTGCTCCCCGTGGGGGTGGGGACATCCTTGTCTTTCCCAAGTCACAGCATTTCCTACAGGGTCTCCCTAAAAGCAAAATCCCAGCTTGAGCCTTTGGGAAGCAGGGGCCTGTCTCCAGCTTTCAGTGTACCTCAGGTCACTCCCCGACCCAGAGTAGTTAAGGCACTTGTGCCAGTACCGCGGCATGAGCAATGGATTTGGAGTCAAGCAGGATTTCTGTCCCTGTCAGCTTAAGCATGTTAGCTTGACCTCTCTGAGCCTCGTTTTTCTTGTCTATGACACGGGGATAATGCAAACCTGCTGGAGATCTAAAGGACATAGTGTGCCCGTCTAGAACATGGCAGCAGCTCTGTGCCAGACCACCTGACCTTAAGTCCAGGCTCTGGCCACATGTTCCCAAGCAACAATGCTAAGACAGAAAAAAAAAACAACAATGACAAAAAATCTTTCATGGAGGCTCGGTTTCCTCTTCTGTTAAGAAAATGTATACTGGCCTTCCTACCTCACAGGACTGTAGCAAGGATCAGACAATAGGTTTCCCTATTGTAGGGAAGACAATGCACGATGTTTTTGTGTGGTGTACAAATATTACCCAGGTGGGCTGTGACTTGCCAAATGGCGAACAATTTACACTTTCTCATCGAGGGTGACGTGTGGAGGGAGGAGGATGGAGGGGCTGCTTGAGGACCCCACGCCCTAGGGAACGCCGCCACCCCCTCCTGTACCCAGCTGTCCCTCACACTCAACCCGCAGGCCCTCACATTCCTGGCACGGACTGGAGAGCTGAATGAGCCAAGTTCTGATGGCTTTCAGAATATTCCAGCTCTGATCTGCTCTGTTCCCTAAGGCCATGGTCACTAGTCTCTGCCAAGCCCTCACTTCACCCCCGCCCCTCCCCTCAGTCACCCTGGGGACTAATGGCCTAAAGTTGCTGGTGGCACTCCACCCCCCCCTTGGATGGGGCAGGAGGCACCCTGCCCCTCACAAGAGGTGTCAGGGGCTGGAGGAAGGGCCTAGCCAGCCTGGGGGACAGGGCAGGATCAGGACCCCAGACTGCAGTCATCCCCTTGGTACTATTTTCTTTTCCTTCTTTTTTTTTTAACCAAGCTTTACACCCTCTGTCTCCCTCCCCTTCTGGTGTCCCTGCCCCCCAGGTCTCTCTGAAGGCATCTTGGTGTCCTGGTCAGAGAAAGGACTCTGAGGAAGCACCTCTCAACACAGTGCTTGGGCAATAATAAGCGGACAGGGGTCAGGGGGGACCGTGACACTTACCCCTTTTGCTGCCTCTGGCCCGGTCCTGGGTGCCTCCAACTCTGTATACTAAGGCCTCGGGCCACAGCTGCTGCCCTCGCTGGCTTCCAGTCCACAGAATCCATTCTCTCGAAAGATGCCCCTCTGGGCATGACACTCAAGAGGACCGCCCCACTCCAGGGACCTAGCAATCACGGCCACAAGTGACCTCTGGCCTGTTCTGCACCTCCAGCCCCTCCTGCCCGCAACCCAGCTGCGGCCTGGGCTGTCTTCCTGGCCCTTCTTGCTATAAGCAGCACCCCCCCCCCCATCCACCTCCAAGTGGCCAGGGAGGGGTGGTTCAGTCTTCAGGGGCACTGCTGGTAGGGGGAAGGTGTCCCCCCTTCCCAGGGCAGAGTCAAGTCCTGTTTCCTTGTTTCTGGCTGGGCCGTCACCCCCTCGGCTGCTTTCCCATTCCTCCTGTGCCTCCCCTTCTGCCCCCTTTCCTTAGTGCCTCCTGACTGTCTTCAAGGTACTGTGACCTCATCCTCACCTGGCCTGACTTGCCTGGGTGTGTGGAGGCCCAGCCCTGCCCAATGAGACCCCAGTGAACGTGGACTTGCGCACTAGGACTAGGACACTGCTCCTCCCCTGCTCCATCCTCCAGGGGCCCTGTGCTACTACTGAGCGCTCTGTGGTGGCTCCCTGCACTGGCTGTTCTCCGAGAGCCAGGTGCCCCACGGCCTCAGACTGCCTTTTTACTCTGCTTCCACTGCAGTTCAAAGAGCGCCTCCTCTGGGAAGCCCTCTCCAGGGCCCTCACCTGCGCCTGCATACCCAACCACGGGAACTCCTTTTAAATCGCCCTTGCGCATGTTCATCTTCCCCTCTAGACTGTGAGCACCTAGTACTCATTACCAAGTATTCAATACTCATTTCTGTAGCTCCAGCACCAAGCGCAGCCCTCAGCTGAGCTCGGCCCCCAGTGTCAGCAAGGCCAGCGGTCAAGGCCCCATCAGCCACTCCCAAGGCCCGTTGCTGGCCCCGCCCCGAGCTGTTGTGCAATGCCCTCTGTGCCCACCTGTGGCTTTGGCTTCTGCATGCCAGCTGCCCAGGCCAATTTTGTTCTCACGCAGGCTGGCTGGGGGCCTCAGTGCCAGAGCTCCGGCCCTTCGGATGTCCACCACGGCCGCTTCCCTCATGGGCCTGCTCAGTCCCAAATGGGTCCCAATTCCCATTTCAGAGGACCCTGCTTTTACCTCCGCCTCCAAACTGTCTCCCTTTCTGCCCACTCCCTCTCCCCCATTGTCGCTGTCCATTTGGCAACGACATCTGGCCCCAGATGTACTCTACCCAAGGGGTTGTGCTGCCAGAGCCCCCCGCCCCTCCTGGGGACGTGGAGTCTACCGGATTCTCCTTCCTCCATTGTGATTACGGAGGCTCAGTCAGGGCGGGGCGGTGGGGAAGGAAGTGGAGAGTTGGGTGTTCAGGCTTCCCTACCTCCAGCGCCACTACTGGCCACACTCCAGGCATTGTGTCCCAGGGGCTGAGCGGCCCACAGGGCAGCACTGGGAGTCATTTGTGTAGAAGTGGTGGGAAAGGGGAGGGTCTCAGGCATAGATTTGTTGTAAAAAGGTAAAAAAAAAAAAAAAAAAAAAAAGAGCAACAGATTCTTCCAGAAGGACTAAGTGCAGCACCCGAACTCCCTACAGGGACTCAGGCCCTGAAGGCCTGCAGGCTCTCACTCGAAGCCCGCGATGTGCACAGGCCACAGCGCAGGCCCCGCAGAACCAGCCTAGGGAGCCTGCTCCTTATCGCGGGGCCAGACTGACTTGGGCAGGTGTTTGAGTCCCTGGTCTGAGGTCCTGAGCATCTGTTAAGAGAAGTCCATTTATATCCCAGAAAACAAGGGGTTAGGCTCTCCAGCAGAGATTTCAAGGGCCCCAGGAATGCCAAATCTTCTGGCCTGGGCTTCAGGACCCCACTGGGAGTGTGGGGATCGGATGTCTTCTTTCGGCTTCTCCATTAAACACATCCCCTCCCAGGAAGGGCAGGCAGGGCCCAGTGCGTCGCCCACAATCCACGTCCTGTTTGCCCACCTGGGAGGGCTGCAGGCTTAGTGTCCCCTTAATTCTGGTGGCCCCTTCAAATCCCCCAACCCTTTCCACCAGGGACCCTGGGGACGCGAGGGGCAAGGTGGATGGGAGTGGGGGAGGGTACAGTGTGGCCTGGGCCCTTCCCCTCACACACAAGGGAGGGCCTGGATGACGGGATCGTGGTCGGGAAGGTCCCCAACAGCACTGAACTGAGGAAAAGAGCTCCCTCGATAGACTTGTCAATCGCTCTGGCGGATGCAGACGCAGATGCCAGGAGAGGCCTGGGGGCCAGAGATGGCCTCACACTGTGGAGGAATAGTAGGAAGAGGAAAACTCGGGAGGGGGTGAGGATGGAACTGAGGGTGACTGCATGCCCACGAGGTGCCGAAGGGTCTGAGGGGAGCAGAATCAGGTCAGGTAAGGCAGAGGAACAAAGACCTTTCTCTTCAGTCCTCTCTACTAGCTTTGTGCGCCCAAGTACGAATACTGGTTCTCTTCTAAACTGAGGTTTTGGGGAATCTGAGAGGTTCCATTGGCTAAGCGTCCGACTTCGGCTCAGGTCATGATCTCAGTTTGTGGGTTTGAGCCCCGTGTCAGGGGTTCTGCGGTCAGTGCTGAGCCTGCCTCGGATCCTCTGTCTTCCTTTCTCTCTGCCCCTTCCCTATGAGCACTCTCTCAAAATCAAACATTTTTTAAAAAGTAGGGGGACCTGGTTGGCTCAGTCGGTTAAGCGTTCGACTTCGGCTCAGGTCATGATCTCCCAGTCTGTGAGTTCGAGCCCCGTATCAGGCTCTGTGCTGATGGCTCAGAGCCTGGAGCCTGCTTCGGATTCTGTTTCCCTCTCTCTCTGCCCCTCCCCTGCTCGCTCACTCTCAAAACAAATAAAAACATTAAAAAAACAAACTGAGCTTTTGTTTGCAAATGATCACAACCACGTGACTCAGACCAT